GAAGAGGAGAAAAGTGATGCAACATCTCTTCTGGACCATGTTGTGTGGAAGGCTGCCCGTGTGGGAAGAGATGGAGTCGTTCAGGAAGAAGTTCAACAAGTATTTGAACAATGTGTAAGTACAACATTAGTTTTGTCAGTAACTGATCAAAAGTGTATAATATATTTATATATGCTTTTATCTATATTTCAGGAGACTCTATCCCAGAGTATAACTCTAGCTGAGGACGATGATTGCATGAGCATACTGATTCAGGTGTTAAATATCCCTGAGTATTCTGGGCGTGTGAGCGGTAAGGGATTTGGTGTCACTCCATCAAAACTTTATAAGAAGCCAAAGAAAAAAAATCCTAGCAATAAAGAAGTGATGGATACATTGGAGGAATTGAAAGCTCAGATTCGCGAATTACAGAAGGACAAAGAAAGATACATGTCGGAAAGGCGCGGTCCAGAGGATAAAGATACTAGTGACAAAGATATTATCAATTGTCTGCAGAAGCTTCCAGAGGTAATTGTATATATTACATTGAAATTAATTTAGCATAATTTTCTTAATTGACACATTAATCGGCATCATTATTTGTTTAGAGCATTTCACCTTGTCGGTTATATTTATCGTCACCGACTTATCGCATGGTTGGCAAGGGAAAGATGCATAACACTGTGGGAGACTTAACTCACCATAAACCACTCCCTACTGGATTTTTGAAAGTATCAGTTGATATTGCGTTAGAGGGGGATGCGTTGTTGCCTATACCCGATGATGTTTCAGACGCAACAGTGGTGGGAGACGCAATAGGAGCGTATGTTGCATGGCCGACAAATCTCATTTTCTTAGATGATGAGGTATGTTGAAGACCATTATGAACCTTGTAATATTCAAATGTTTTATGACCCATAGATGAAAGTTATTCTTACATTTACATTTTTTTATTTACATGATGATCTTAGACTCCTACAAAATCTAAATCAAAAGATAAGGGAATCATTGTGCGGGAAACCGATTTAGCTGCATCAAAGAAACCTGTACTACTACAGTTACGTGATTATCTTATTATACATTAATTACTGAACTTATATGACTTTTAGGTTCATGATCAATAGTTGCAACAAGTCAGCAAAGGTAAGATGCCTGAATCTTCCAAAGTGCCCAACAAAAAAAAAAGGTCGAGCCAAAAAAAGCATTTGTTCCTCGATTTAGGTTGTGCCTTGAAACATATGTAGGAACAACAAATGTGGCTGAGGGTGGCATCCGTCAAATACCTAAGGAGGAAGGTATTTTCTGTTTTGAATATACCGAAACAATTGCTAAGGAGGATTTGGACCAGGTTTTCCAACATTCTGAATTGGGCGTCGGTGTTATGCATTCCTACATTAGGTACTCCGATCCATTTTAATTAAATAATTGAACATTTTAAAATTTTCTCATTTAACTGAATATTCTAATGTTGATTATGTTTTTCTTTTAGGCTCTTGTATGACAAGTTGTTGGTCCCGCATGATTTGACTTCAATATTCACATTCTTATCTGCTAGCTGTATCACTAGAAGAATCAAGTACCAAAGATAATTCTCCCAAGGATCTTACAAAAGACAGAGTGAGCTTCTGGACTTTGAGGGCTCACAAAAAAGAAGCGAACTTTAATGTCCTCCCAATTTTAAGCATAAACGACAAATTTCTTAGCAACTTGGTATGTCGAGAATAACATCTGGCCTTTAGAATATCTTGGAAGGTATTGATCACGACAAAGACATGGAAATACAAATTTAGACAAAGCTTCTAGTTTTGTTATTCACACAAAAACTGGAACATCTTCACGAAATCCTAAGCGCTTAGATGAAATTAATAAGACAAAATTCTCAAATGGTTTAGCCCCCTTCCTTAAATCCGTTGAAAGGTAATCTGAAATTTTGTTAAGTGAGCATGCATTCATCAAAAGAGACATATCACCCGTCAAAACAATTGTAGAACCTTTTATCAGAATCAATAGGGAGAACCGTTCAATCAAAAGGCAGACTTACTTCTTTTACAACACCTTCTACTTTGGTTGTATCTTTAAAAAGAGAGATAATCCTCAATAATCTAGGATTTACCTAGCAATACTGATACACATCAGTCAACTTTTGAAATAAAGTATTTGTATGAACCTCGGACGGCGAGAAGAGCCATCCAATCAAGGAGGTTTGATTTCAAAGTTTAACATGATCCTTAATCTCGAACTCACTAGGATATTGTCCATGTGCGATTCTATAGTCCTCAACTTATCTCGGGGAATAACCTCTTTATCCAATAAAGGTTGGGCAGGTGGAGGAAAGCTATTGGTTACCCCCGTGATGGAAGAGTTTGTGTTAATGGCTTTTCCAACACACTCATTGGAGAAATTAAGAGAATACTCTTCTAAAGAGGTTTTATCAAAATAGGATTCACTAGAAGCACTATTGGACTAAGAACTCTTAGAAGTAACTAGGATTGTACAAAACTGAACCGGATCAACAAAAAACCATTAACGAACCCGAACCAAACCAAAAATCGCAAAGAACCACATTTGGTTCGGACGTGTTTGGGTCATTTTTTAACATAATGGAGGTTTGGTTTATGGTTTGTATTTTACAAATCAAACCAAACCAATCCAAACCAAACTACATTATATTATAATCCAAACTTCACTCAACTCACATCTAACCCAAACTCAACGTATTATGCCTTATCCTTACGATTACCATAATTTTTCTCTTCCTCACACTTAAGGCTTTATTTTAAGCCTTTTCAAATCTCTCCAGGAAATATTGTACATTCTTCTCATCTTCTTCTCTATGTACACTTTTCTTTTTCTTCTCTAATCTCACCTCTCTTATATTCTCTCTTTTTGATTTTCTCATTTTTATGATATTGTTCTCTCTTCGAATTTCGTTTTTATCATGTCTTTTTTTTTAATCTCTTATCTCTTTTGTTATTTCTTTTTCATCTTCTCTAATTATTTATCTCCTCTATTTTTTTCTGTTTCATTATAATATTTTTGATTTTTTTATATGCTATTGTTATATGTTTCTTATTCAACTTTTGTCTAATCTAACTTTTGTATATTAAATAGGAAGTTGTTGTCCTAATATGATAAGTTTTTTTTATTTGGTTATGTATGGGTGTCTAAACACGAAGTTATGTTGTCCACTGTATACGCATATGTATGAATCAATAAAAATATTCTAAAAACCTAAACCAACCCAAACCACATTGGGTTGGTTTTGTTTATTTTAGTTTTATTTTTAAAAAGAATCAAACCAAACCACATGTTTTTTAGATGACTTTTAGCATCCAAACTCCATTGCTAACACCCATAAAAATAACTATGAAGTTCATGTCAGGGAGATTATGTGCTAAAGAAGTAGTATTCGAGTTATATGGAATTTCTTCCCCCACATATGAGAAATATTAGACACCACCATATCTACTCCCCAAAGTCGCGGGCCGTTCATCTATATTAGCCATGAAAAAAGTGAAAGAATTAAAATTAAGAAAGGAAAGTAAAAAGTAGGGATGGTACCTGGAAGGGAGTTAAAGGAAAGACATCATGTCATGCAAATGGAGTGAAAGGTTGACAATAAATCATAAGACACACTACTCTAATAGAGGAAAATGGCACTGCAATAAGAAGTCACCAGAAGTTTAAAAAAGAAATGTTGATTTCTCAAAGACGAAGTGTATTCCATTTCATAATGAGGGAAAAAGTTGATCCAAAAAATCAAGTGACCCTTATATAAAAGATAGTTAACCAAGTGATCAACGATCCAAATTAAAGAAAATGGGGATGAAAAACGAAACATCCAGATCTTACATTGGAAACATAATGGCAAATGAATGCACTTAAGAATTTTAAAGAGAAACGTCACGCCCTAATCTACGAACCTAAGGCCACATGCTGAAAATCCTATGAAACGTCCTAATGATGGAAAACACATTTAATACACTTGTTACCCACTTTTCTTGCAATCGGTTCTTATACTTTTCCCCTTTGTAGTTAACCCGACATTATGTGGCCGACACCTACCGAGAAATACTTTCCGTTCAACACATCACGACAAACCTTGGAGACGAATGACTGTTTTAGGTTGGCCGAAGATACAATAAAGGAAAGTCCTTTTTGTGATTATCAAGCAAGAAACAATAATTACTTGACTCATATATATAATTATAATTGGTGATGTTTCTAAGTGTTAACGTTTTGTTGACCGTGATGATAAAAAATTTGAATAATTAAAAATAAATAAATTGTGTTATTTTAGTGTTTTTAATTATTAATTAAATTGAAAAGTTGTTAAAATATGATATTTTTATTTATTTTGTATTAATGTAATTAAAATTTAAAATTGATTTTTTTCCCAGATTTTTAACCCAAATATTTTACTTTTGAAGATTTATTTTTTTAGAATATTTTAATTAAATTATAATAAAATTTAATTTAACATTAAATTGTTGAAGTCAAAGTTTAATTGCCACATCATTGCCATACTATAAACATGCCACTTCGGTAAAAATAGAGAAAAAAATTCCAAAAATTATAAAATGGATGGAGAAAAAAGCTAAATTTTAAATTAAAACAAGGAGAATCAAAAGTCCTTTTAAACATTTACTATTTATTTTAAAATACCTCACTAAAAAATTTGCTTTGTGGTGAAACCACTTCAATATCGGTCATTTTCATCTCCCTAATAATTAATTTTCATAGTAACTGCTCTCTACTTGCATCAATTCATCATTTTCATCCAGCGTTTCCTCTTCAGTATTTATTAAAACAATTCCAATTCTTCGATAAAAAATCAAAAAATAACACTTAAAAAGAAACTGAAGAGCACTGGTTTAGATATAGGAAGAGGAAGGGTCATTTTTACTGGATGAGTAAAAACTCAAAAGCGAGCCAGGTACTTTTTCTCTCTTCTCCCCTAATCTTCATAGAAGAACCACTCCACTTTTCTTCAACTTTGCTTCTTCTTCTTCTCTGAGACAATGAAGAGAAGAAAGCATAAACATAGTTACTGTGAAAACAAAGAGAAGAACAAAGACAGACTCAGTGACCTGCCCAACTGCCTTTTACTCCATATACTCTCCTTTTTGAATGCCAAAATAGTTGTTCAAACTTCCATTCTCTCCAAGAGATGGAAGAACCTTTGGAAGTCTCTTTCCGTCCTTAGATTAACTTCTTCAAACTTCAAAACTGCCCGGGGTTCTTCAAACTTCCAGGCGGTCCAGAATTTCAACAAATTCATGTCTAAAATCTTATCTCTTCGGGATTACTCAGCCTCACTCCACACTCTCGATGTTCACCGCTATGCAATTAGGGAACCTCGCCAACTCAAATGGATTATAAAATACGCAGTTTCACACAATGTCCAACATTTAGATATCTATCTCAAATGTCGTTTTCAACAGCTCCCCCCTTGCTTGTTTTCATGTCGCACTTTAACGTCTCTTAAACTTTCTGTTTTCCGCTCTAGATTGTATACTATGAAAGCCTTTTTCCCTATTTCTCCAAATTTGCCAGCATTAACCAGTTTGTCTCTACAGTCATTCACCTTTCTTGTCGGCGATGATGGACGCATTGAGCCTTTTTCTTCGTTAAACAAGTTGAATAGTTTGCTCATTGACAAATGTGAAGTTCTTGATGCCCAAAACCTTTGCATATCAAGTGCCACACTTGTAAATTTAACTATAATCATGAGTTATAGGGCACATAAGGCCTATTTCGGATTTGAGCTATCTACACCAAGTCTTTGTACCTTTAATTTTAGTGGCTTTCCTGTTCAGAAACTCTGTGGAAGCAATAGCAATCTCTCCACTGTCAAACATGCAAATATTGATGTCGATTATTGGTTACATACGGCAGACACTCCTTTGGTTCTACTCAATTGGCTGGTTGAGCTTGCTAATATCAAATCATTGACAGTTACTTCCACTACTCTTAAGGTACTTTAGAGCATGTTTGGTATAAGAAACAAAATTGTTTCATTTTCAGCTGTGAAAAATATTACTATACTGATTCATCCCGATATCTTAGGTTCTTTCCCTTGTTCCCGATTTAGTGAAGTTTGAGTTCTCTTTCTTGTGTAACATGAAGTCACTGAAAGTAAAAAGGAAATATTCTTCATCCGTACCTGATGGATTAGTGGACTTTTTGCTTCAAAACTCACCCTCGGCAAAGGTTGACATTGTTGATTGATTAAGGTCAGATGTGCATTCAACGTTTTAAAGAGATTTTTTTGGCTTATTATTTTAATTTTGCATTCTTTGTCCACTTTCTGTTTCCTATAGTGTCGATTGATAAATTACAAAACTCTTATTTATAGTAGTAACAAACAGTGCATGTATACTAACATAACATGGTCTATTCGGTGACAACCTTAGTGGATACTCTATTGAAAAGATTAGATTGCTTGAATTGAATGTAAGAAAGTTGTTGGTGGTTGGAAAAAAAAAACTATAACCTTTGTGTATAGTTGAATTGACAATATGTGAAAATGTAGTTATTGATTGTTTGAAAAAAATCTTATGTGCTGTCGTTAAAGATTGACATGAAGAAAGTGATAGCTAACTAATTTGCAAATGTTAAGGGAATGCAAAACCTATAAACCAGATGGTATTGCAGGATTTTGGCTCTCAGCCATGGACTGCCATCCGCCATCGAGATTACTAACATCATGCTTTTATAGGTAAAGATTAATTAAGAAATATGAAGCTAGTATGTTATTTGACATGAACCACCTAACAGTGGTATTATGCCTATGACAATAAGAGATTTAAGCTTTGGTTGGATCTGAAATGGTACTAAGAATTGGATGACTTTAGTATTCTAATTGATGAATGTAGTTGGAGACTTTATATTATAGTTATATATGAGAACATAAGTCATGTTATTTGAAAAGTGCTAATTTAATTTTAATATTTGTTTCATGTTTTACAGCCTGGTGTGCCCTTGATCACAAATAAAGCAGATGTTGATGCTGTGACTAAATTTATGAAAATGTTGTTGAAAGTTCCTAATGGATTTGCATATATTAACATTCATGATCTCCTTTACCTTGCTGTCACTAGTGCAAAACAAATTGTCTATGAAACTGTCAAGTACAACCGTGTTTTTCTCGTTATGCTAATTACATATTGATGTGTTATTTTAATCGACTATTATTAATTGATGTTGCGATCAATATACATAATTTTTCCATACTGCAAGTGGTGTTTTTCCATGACCATTGTGGCAGGTTTGGTTTGGCCTGACCCTGCTTGATTGTGTAGTTCAAACCATTGTGGCAGGTTGGTTTGGCCTAGTTCTAACCCAAACAGACATTTCTTGATATGTGCGTGTCATATTTGTGTAGAGATCGTGCTAATCTTCTCTGCATCGTTTTAATTTTATCGGATGTCTTTGATGGGACTATTAAACAACTGTTTTAACAAAGAATGTGATGAAATATATCAGAGTTTTAAAAATTGAAAATTGTATAGAAATTAATAGTACTTACTTTCAATTAGTTGAAGTGTGTCACAAATACGTATCATTGTGGTTGAAGAACCGTGGTCCTCCCTATCAAGTCCAACATCAATCATCACTGAATCAACTAAGGATTGGTTTCCGATAACTATTTATTTTCGGCTAAGATATTATGCCAATTTCTTTGGAAGTAAAACAAAATATTATACTTTAGAGGCCATTAAAAACACATTCAACAGCCTATTAATGCAGGGAGTAAATAGTTAGATGGAAGAACCATTTAATTTTTTATAGTATGTTTTAAAATTTCATGATGTTGGAACAAGCAACCATAAGATTGGTGTGAAATTATATTTTTAGAAGTAGAGAGCACAATAATCATTAGCTTGGGTGAGAGTGCACCCAATACACTTATATAGGAGTTACAAAACAATAAGGATACAAAATGATCAATTACATAAGCAAAAAATACAAAAACTCGGGCCCGTAACCGATTACGCCAAAACAGGTAACCGATTACAACTGCCTTGACAAAAGCTATGTTATTTTGACACTTCATGTAACCGATTACACCAATTGTGGTAACCGGTTACGCCTTCGAAAACTGCACTTTTTTACTTCAAAACAGCATCCCAGCACTTGCAATCACATTCCTCAAACTTTAACACACCACCTTAATTCAAATGTTGCAAGTTTACCATTCTCATGCTCATCTTCAACCTCTTGAAGACATCATTCATGACCCCTTTCCTCAACAACTTTGCTACTTGATCCTCACTTCTGCAATATCCTAAACGTAACCTCCCTTCAACAACTAGTTCCCTCAAATAGTGGAACCTCATCTCTATGTACTTGCTCCTCCCATGTGAAGTTAGGTTTTTTGAAATATTAATCACGGAAACATTGTCAACTGAGTGTGACAGCCTCACTATCATTGTTTCTCATCTCTTCTAGCTGATTCATAAGTCATACGGTTTGGCACACACATAACGAATCAGCCATATACTTTTCCTCTCAAGATGATATTGCAACCACTATTTTCTTCTTCGAATACCATGAGATTGGTGTCGCACGGAACATAAAGACGTACCCAGCTATAGACTTTCGATCATCCTTATCTCCACACCAATTGGAATCGGTGAAAACGAACTAACCGCATTTTCTGCATGTATTCATTGCGGGAAAGAGAATTCTGTAGCCAATAGAACCTCTAACATAGCGCAGGATCCTTTTGACTACTGCCAAGTGTCATACCCTAATTTTTACCCCTAAGATCCCACTTCATTTACATCTTTGCAATGCATCAAGATCACAAATTTGGTTGACTTCTAACCCTCTCATCTTTGGGTTTTTCCTTTGTAGAGATCACCAAGCACATCTTTGTGTATCTTTCATATTTTTATACTCATATGCTTTACAATTCACTAACCATTAATCAAAGTACAAAAAGAATATGTCTTTTCCCTTTTATGTCTTTTGCAAGGTAGGGTTTGAAATCAAGAATATCAAGTAATTGTCTCCTCAGCTAAGGTTTGAGTTTCTCAAGTCAAAATATGGTCAACCATTGATTTCGAAAGGCTTTCATCAAAGCATGGACTCTAATATCAAAGTATAGAGTCTCAAGTATTATTCAACTTCATTTGATCAAGAATGTTTCAAGGTTTGATGGCTTGTTTCTCAAGAAATTCCAAAGGTTTATGTGTTTATTTCCATGCCTTCATCAACAAGTTTCCTCAAGCCATTGCAAGTTTCATCAAAGGATATTCAAGAGTACATCATTTTGAATTCATATGATTATCAATGTGCCTTGAAATGCAAGAAAAAGTCCAAGGTTGCAAGTTTGTACAAGGAGGTTTGACCAAAAAGTCAACATTTTAAGTCCAAGTTCAAAACTTCATAACTTCTTCATACTTTAACATTTTTGAATGCTTCTTTGGGAAAATGACTCTTCTTGACACCCCCTCCAACTTCTTTTCACAAGTCAAAAGCCAATTATGTTTGGAAAGCTATCAAAAGTTTGAAGACATTAGAGGTCATTTTGTGGACTTAGAAAATTTTGACCTAAAGTTCAAGTATGACATGTCTATGTTCCAAAGATCATATCTTCTTCAATTTTCAACTTTTATGGGCGTGTTTTTTCTTCCAAATATCCTTTTTGATGTCATCTAAAATTTTTCTTTAGAGGTTAAACATCAAATCATGCTCCAAAGACCTTAAATCTTAAAGGTCATTTGTGCACAAAACTAGGTCATGACCTGTTTGACCTAATGCCTGACTAGTTTTTCAGTGCCACGACCTCAAATTTCAACTCATGCCATTTTCATCTCAAGTATCATTTTGTATTGATTCTTTTTGCATTGTGTTCTCCCCCCATGGGATGGTCATTTGGCTTAAGGAAAATCAAGAAATGCACGAGTAGATTGCATTTGACCTATATATGAACATGACCCCATGGAACTGAGTTTTGGTTATGACCAGAATTTGCAATTCACTCAAATCTCTAAATTAAGTCAATGTATGCATGTGTTTTGTCTATGATTATGTTAAATGATGGGTTGTGATGCAAAACGACCCAAAATCAGAAAAAAAAAATACGCTGCGTTTTGATGAGTTTCCATACAAGCTTGGTCACATTTTTAGTGTACATAATTTCACACAAGTTGCAACTAATTTTCACACGTATCTTATTCATTCATCTCAGGTATAAATAGAGGAAGCATTTGCACTAAAAACCAAGCTTAGAAATCCCTCAGAACCTCTGATCGAGCTCCCACCTTGCACTGAAAATTTGTGATTTCGTTTTCAAATTCTAAGCTCTTTCAACCTTATTTCTTGATTACATTAGCTTCATCACTCTTCTCTGAAGCTTATGCAACAAGAATTAAGCTTTAAGACTCACTGAATTGATCTAACCATATCCAGCTTTCAACACCTCTGATCATCATTTGGACAAGGTAGTTCTGAGCATATTTTGGACTCAAACAAGTTACAACGATGTAGCATATTACTTCCTGATTGTTTCCCCTCACTTACCTTGTGTTGATTGTTCAGATTAGTTATTTAATTTTTTTTCGTGTTTTCTTGTTTCACTGAGTTTCTTTGAAATTCTCTCTACTTACTTTCAATCAATGAAAGTGAAGCACATGGTTGGATTCACACTGATGAAACAGATGTAATGGTGATGGTTTTGTGACCTAATCTTGCAAAATGCCAAACTCCGGTGAGCAAATCACCGGAGAAGACGATCAGAAGTGTTCCACAGTGGCCCGAAGTTGTTTTGATTTAAAATAGATCCTGCACGTTATTTTATTTAAACTCTATAATGTCTCTGTTGATCTGGGCCTTTGGATCTATTTTAAATGAAATCTGATGGTTGCGCACGTTTTTGGTTCCTAGCCTTTGATCAAATCTAAAGGGTGTGGTTTTTTTGCAGCATTTTCATTTCATTTTAAATGTTTTATTTTCTCATTTTATTTTTAAAAAATTATAAAAAAATAGCTCCCTTCATCTTTTTCACTCCAATTTTTTTTCATGAGAAATGTTAGCTTAGATTGTTTGTTTTATTCTAAGGGAATAAAGTGAAAAGGTAAATAAAAATGGATTTAGATTACTAAGGAGAAATGAGTGGTTTCTTATTAAGGGGATCACCAAGGATTGAGACCCTTGTGGCTGTGTATCTTCATTCTGAAAAATGAAGAATCAGAGCGTCAGTAGTTTGTGGGACTACGACA